AAACAGCGGTCAAAAGACCAAAAAAAAGTTCCCCAATCAACGTTTAAAAATTTTTATTAAAAAAAAAAAAAAAAAAAAAAGTCCCACCTGTCCATTTTCACCACTTCTGCGTCCAGAACGTTACGGAGAACCTGCTCCACTGGGATCTCCCCAGCGTACCCGGCCCCCCAGCCCAGAGTGTTGGAAAGGTCATTTCCTGTCCCCAGAGGAAGGATGGTCACCCTGGGGATAAACTGATCTTGGTCCTGAAAGAAAAGCAGCATAATAAAAAATGGAAACAAAAAAGGTGACATATGCTGCTTTGAAAAAACAAAACAAAAAAAAAAGGCTCAATTCGTAACATTTTAACCACAAACAATTTAGTTTTATTGAGATTTCATATGAGAGATCATCACAAAACAGTGCATTACCATGATTTTCCCTTTTTATTTTTTTTTTAATTGTACATTTCTCGTTCATTTTTCTTCCAAGGAGCCAGACTTCTTGTGGTTTTTCAGGATTTTTGAAAAAGCTCTGGACTTCATCAAAGCTGAACAAAATCTAATCATCGTACCTTGAGCTTCATTGCATCTATTGCATCCAGGACCCAGCCCACAGTGCCATCACCTCCACACACCAGCACCTGGACCCTGCCCGGGGGCAGCAGGGTGCATAGCTGGAGGGCTTTGGAAGGAGTCAGCTCAGAAAGGTCAAACACCTGGAAAAGGACGGAGCCGTTCTGATCAGATCGGAGGCCGACGCACCTGAAGTCGGCCTGACACGGCAGCGATTTTTGCTGGACGATAAATTGTCCCAGTAATTATTGTCTGTAAAAATCGTTCTTTGCTCTCTCAAAAAACGATGAACTTTTGAATTTTGTAAAGAACACTTTAGACTGGAACTGGAATACATATCAAGTAGACAAAACAAAACAACCACAAAAAACACTAATAAACCAGAAATAAAAAAAAAAACAAAACGCTCAAAACCGAAGCCATGAATAAAATGGATTACAAAATCTGTAGACAAAAATATCAATAATCAGAATGGAAATTATCGAGCTCGTTTGGATTTATTCGGTTAAATGCTTATTACGACAGGTTTAACCTGGAGGAAGCTGACCTGCACAGGGTTGAGGAGCGTTCGAAACTCTCCCAGCAGAGCCTCCCCCATGTTGTTGCCACTCCGTGTGTTGGCCAACACCAACACAGGAGTCCAGCTACTGCCACAGGAAGCCCCCAGCTGCAGGAAAAAACAAACAAAAAAAAAAAACAGCTAGGTGATAGTCCCTTTCTCCACCGCTCTAAGAAATGGAAGCGACTCAGGAGATCCACGTCACATGCGTCGCACCTTGGTGAACTCGTCAGGGTGCCGGCGGCGCAGCTTGTTGACAAGGTAGAGGTAGTGAGGAGGGATGATGAGGCTGTGGAACTCGCCCAGGTCACACGTCTCTGTGTCCGCTAAGCCGTCCATGCAGTCGTCGTGAACTGTGGTCTGACACCAGACACACCTGAAAAGGAGGCGCAGAGGGAGACGCACCGTGACAGTTTGGGGTCAGACCACAAACGGGGAGTTGAGAAGAGCAACATCAAGCCTGCACACGTTGGACAACAGCAGCAGCTCATCAGACGGGAAAGTAGAGGGAGCGGTTCTAATCAATCCGATTCTGACCTCAGACTTACCTCTTCAAATGACCAACTTTTTTATATTACGTTTTATTTTTGCATAACCTAATCTTGCTGTTTAAATTCTTCCAAATGCATAATGCATTTTTCTAACATGCCTTCTTATTTGTAAGTTAAGCAGAAATGAGGTGGGACGTCTTTCCATACTTAAACCGTGTTTGTTCTCTGGCTGTCAGACGAGTTCTGTCAACATCCCAGGATTAGACGAAAACCAGGCGTCGGAGAAGCTTGAAAGTATAAACAGTGAAGTTGCAGCTTCACACACAGCATTGGTAAAAAGTAATGAATATCTTGGAACGTAAAGCTTTCAAAAATGAATACAAAATGTAGAAATATCTCTGCTCATCATCTGGTAAAACCAAAGAAATGTTGGTTAGGTATTAATAGGAAAGGCCAAAAAGACAAAAAATGTCTACAGTTTATAATACTACTCTACAAGAAACATTTTGTTACTATAGGATGTCTATCATTAATAATCTTGTTTTGCTTCATTTTATTGAAGGTTTAATGTGACACCACAACATTCCAATTTGTTTGAGAAGTAGAATTTAAATCACATTTTCAAAAAAATTAAAAGAAAATTATATATATATATATATATATATATATATATATATATATATATATATATATATGTGTGTGTGTGTGTGTGTGTGTGTGTGTGTGTGTGTGTGTGTGTGTGTGTGTGTAGAAAATTCTACCGCACTAGTATCGATTTGACACCGATAATGAGTTTGAATTGTTATCGATATTTTGGATCATCTGCCAATCCTAATGGACTGAAAGATTTATGTTAACACCTGTAGCTTTTTAAAATGTGTGTATATAGATAACGTTTTACTCATTATCTGTATGTTTCATCTAAAACCTTAATGAAGTCACAGTGATGTGTTTATTGTTTGATCATGCCTGATATCTGTGGTACCTGACGTCGCAGAGCTTAGGCTGAGTCCCACACTGCTGCTTGCACACAGCACAGTAACTAGCCAGCGGCACGTTTCCGCGGACCCAGCGGTGCTCCGTGGATCCGTCAGGGCGAGACGGGGCCATGATCTCTTTGCAAGGGAGGCTCCTGTCGGCCCGGCGCAGGCACTGCTCGTCGGCGCACACACCGCAGCAGTCGCAGAAAGCTCCGTGCAGGATGTGCTGCGAGCAGACGCAGCAGTAGGTGGGCTTGTTGAAGAGGTCCGTGTAGTGCCAGCCGTGTTTGCTCTTCCTGAAGAACTCCTTCATGTAGGTCTTCCTCTTGGAGCGCTGCGCGCTGCACCACAGCGTCAGGATGACCGGGACGATGACGGCCAGAGAGGTCCAGAACAGCAGCGTCCACTCCTCCCGGGAGCCGCAGTCCTCCCTCGCCTCGCCCCCCTCCTGGCACATCGCTGCCGCGGTCCGGACACAAGCGACGGGCTTGGGGCCTTTCAAGGAGCGCAAATGGGAGAAGAGAAGCGCAGAGTCACCACCAAGCGACGAGTCCCCGCCAAGCTCATGTTCACTGGCATCAACAGGATGCTGCTTTGTAGTTTTGAAGATGAAAAACTACAAACAGGAAGAGGACGGCATCACGTCGAAACACGAAGTTATTACGCTGACGTAACTCCTGCAAAGAGTGTTTGCACGCGAAGATAGTTCACCCCTACAAATTCAACTCAATTACAATAAATTGCAAAGTTACGTTTCCTGCCAGTATTATTAAAGTATTATGATTATTAGTAAACTCTTAAAAGCCATTTTTAAACCTTTCTTTTGGTAATTTCTTAATAATGTTTTATGTACATATAAATTTGGTAAATTAAAGCTACAGACCAGTGATGTGCGGTGAGGTTCAAAGC